CTGGTGCCCTGGAAAGATTTTACACTTTAGGGAAAAAAACATGTTGAAGTAAAACATTGACAAATATTAACTCAATCTGATCATTTACAATGGAAGGAAAAGGACTTGTCCAGTGTTTTTACTTTTTCTTTATACCTTCAAGTGCCCACTCTGGCTGTCAAGCTCCCTGGGAATAAAGATTCAAAATGCCAAGCCACTTACCCTTTCCGGAAGTGACGTCAAACACCACTCCCTTTACTGCTAAGTAGATGGGCTGATCTTCCTAGAAAGCAGGGAAGAAGATATGACGAGGGATAGGATGAGCCCAGCTCTGCCAGAGGGAGTCAGTAAAATCTCCTCTTCTCACAGCTGTGCACCTGTCTGGTCCTCACCTATCTGGACAATGTCATGCCCATTCACAAAAACCTGGAGAACTCATAGAGTCTTATGACAAGAGCATGATGACCCCCTCCTTTATAAAGAAAATCAGGAGCTGAAGCAACTTCATGCAGATAAAAATTCAAAAGAAATGATGAACTATTGAAATCAGTCCAAATTTCATCTTCGTCAATAGACGTACATGAATACAACTGGCATAAATAACCTATTTTATGTATTTATTATTATTTTTTTTTTTGCAGTTTTTGGCCGGGGCCAGGTTTGAACCCACCACTTCCAGGATATGGGGCCAGCGCATCTTTGAGCCACAGGCGCCACCCAATAACCTAATTTTATATTTTGCATCTTACATGTTCCTTCATATAAACATTTCCACATGTTGAAATAACCAGATGGCTGTTACTGACACAGGTCTGTGGGACCCTGTCTTATATTATTGATACTGTGTACCTGTTTGTGTAGCTAGTCTTCTGTTTGGGGTATTTGGGTTGTTTCCAACTGTTGGAACTACAAATGGCAGCATTATGAATAATAGCTCTCTACAGTTTCCTTTCTTTCTAATTGGGTGACTTACTTCCTTGAGGCCTATTTCAATATGTAGAATTCCTTGGACCTAAGTTTAAGAACAACTTAGTCATTCTTTATATTTTACCAGTTTGTCCTTCAGAAACATCAGACCATTTACAGTGCTACAAATATGCGAATAATGCGTTTCTAACAATAGATGTTACACCTTATTTTTGCTACATTAGCAGGTATAAAGTTTCACTTTAGCACTTCTCCCACCAAAAGAGAATAACACAGAAGTTGGTAACATGGATTTTCTAACTTCCATCACCTGGGGCTCAGGCTGGGATGACTAGCACAGTCCTGGGATACCCACATCACATCTTTCTTTTGTCTGGGCCCAACTGGGGGTGCAGAGACATCAGCCAGGTGGCTCACAGGCCAGGTGAGGGTAGGAGTTGCTTAGGCTCTATAAGCAGTGGTTCTCAACCTTCCTAATGCTGTGAACCTTTAATGCAATCCAAAGGGGTTGCGACCCACAGGTTGAGAACTGCTGGTCTATAGGAATCTTAGGCTCTCCAAATACATGCTGCAGGAGCATCTCTTTGGGGTGGCCTTTAGGATTCTTGCCCTCGTGGAGCTTATGGTCAAGTTGACCACATCTAACAGACTGAGGAACTGAGGCTCAGAGAAGTGAAACAACTCGCCCAGGGAAACACACCTCACTGGCACATAACCCCTCAGGTCTGTTTCTCTGTCACACGGGGACAACACCTACATACCTGGCACAAAGGCTGAAGAAAATAGAGTATGTGAGCACCTAGCAGGCACGACAAAGCAGCTCAGCAAAAGGTTAGCTTTCATTATTCCTGAACTAGCTCCAAACACAGTCCCCAGAACGTCTGCTGACTTGTGGACACGGCTCCACCTCACCCAACAAGGGTTATTGTAAGTAGCATGGCTTACAGGCCAGAAGACTGTGTTGTGCCTTTGATGGTTTACTGCCTTTTCTTCACTGTGATTACTTGTTTCCCAGTTTTGATTGCTTATCAAGTGACATTATGTAATTATATCAATTTTTAAAATATGTTACAGCTATAATTTAACCAGGGAGCCTTGTCACATTTTCTTTGATCTTTATTTGCTGTGTACAAAGAGTCACATAAATATAACATTCACAGACATAAGAGAAAAACAAGCATCTTGTGACTAACACTCTTCATTTCTTCAAGAGTAAAATACTGTATTTATCTCCACATTAAATGATATACTGAAGATGTAAGAGCTAAGAACAAGCTATAATAAGCGGGTGAAAGAAATGTGTGGCACCTTTTGAGGGATTCCTGTTACACAGGCCATACAGAAGAATGAATGGGTTTTTTTTTGAGCTGGAGTCTCACTTTGTTGCCCTCAGTAGAGTGCCCTAGTGTTATAGCTCACAGCAACCTCAAACTCTTGAGCTCAAGTGATCCTCTTGCCTTAGCCTCCCAAGTGGCTGGGACTACAGGCGACTGCCACATCCATCTGTTTTTAGAGATGAGGTTTTGCTCTTGCTCAGGCTGGTCCCGAACTCTTCAGCTTAAGCAGTTCACCCTCCTTAGCCTCCCAGAGTGTGAGAATTACAGATGTGAGCCACTGGGCCCAGCTGGAATGAACGGTCTTATCTGTTAAACACCACGTGTGCTGTGGGTTGAGTTCTGATCATGCAAAGATGGCCATCCACTGACAGCAGAGCACACAGGCATGGATTTTCAGGCTCAAGACATAGCAACTGAGAAGGCAGGGGGGCTAGGGAAGCATAAATGCAGACTCAGGAAGAAAAACATCCAGAGAGATATGACAAAGACACACATTCGGCACCAGCTTCCTACCATGCCTCCGGATCCCCTCACCCAATGGCACAGGTGAGACCTTTGTGATCTAGAGTTGGATGTATATAAATGGATATGTCACTTTTTAATCTATTTATGACCCTGACAGGTCATAAATAACAGCAGAAGGGTTGTCTTTTTTTCCAAGAGCTCAAAGAAGGAATCACCATAGTTTTAAGTCAACAGGCCTGGGTTTGTTTGAGCCATCACTTATAAGCTGTTGCCTTGGACAAATTACTTAACCTTTCTGGGCCTCAGTTTTCTCCTCTGTGGTAGGAAGATAATGCCTGTGGCTCA